ACGAGGACAACTGGAGGAACCCCAACGATCTGATCAGTGCCGTGGAGGGAGCACCCTGGCTGGGCCACCTCCCGGGCCACCGCAGCGGGAGGGCCAGTCCCTGTCTGTGTGCAAGACCCATGGGATGAGTCAATGGGAGAGGATATCTCCAGGTCCTCCTGTGACTGAGGGGAACCACTGCCTGCTCTAGGGCTCTGGGAACCTGCTACTGGAGGGACTAGGCTGACCAGTGGGCTTGAGAGTCAGCTATTGGTAAGGCCCAGCGTGAGGAGCAGCTGCCAGGGAGACCGGTTTGTGTTTGTGTGTGCCTGTGTGTTAGGCAGCCGGGGAGACCCGGGGTCTGCAGACCAGCTGCTGGGTAGACCAAGTCTCTAAGGCCCAGGAATCCAGTGCACATGCGTGTGCACATGCATGTGCACGTGTGTTAAGGGATCCAAGTACCAGCAAGTGCGTCTTAGGGGTTCACACACTCACATGCCAGCAACTGGAGAGGCTGGGGGAGCTAGGGGCCAGCTCCCGGGCCGACTGGAGGTCCAAAGCCAGCTACTGGAGGGATCCTCATTGTATTTACATAAGCAAATATATACGTGTTCTCTTCTGACAGGCTTTCATTCTGATCAGCTGGGCAGGAACAGGGTCAGGCCCTTTCTGCTGTTTGTGCCTGCTCGATGCCATGTGTTTTCTGACCCGCGTGGCAGGCTGTGTGATTAGATCTGTATTGTGCATCTGTGTCCCCATCGGGAACGTGCGCTCAGCCTGGCTACTGACCGAACCGGGGAACGTGGAGCTGCAGCAGCCTTGCACCTCCCGGGCACCTGCACGTAAAGCTCCCGACGGTCACCAGGGAGCTCTCGCTTTCCTTCTTCAAGATTGCCTGCTCCTCCCGGAGTCTGGGGAAACTTTCCACCTTCACAAAATTAGGCCGAGGTTTCCCAGTTAAACATGAGCAGAGACCAGCCTTGCTGAAGAAAGACTGAGGTGAGGACACCAACCCTCATCGAACGAGTATCCTGAGCTCCATACAGCCATCCCACGGACCCCACCGGCAAAGCCACCCCAACCTGCCAGCCAGGCAGACTTCAGCCTGTCGCGTTGGTCCAGGCCAGTCGTGGCCCCGCAGTCGTACAGAAGGTGCTGGTGAGACACGGAAGGCCAAGAAGGCTGGGGAAGCAGTGTGGCACAGCAGGCTTGACCAGAGGGCCAGGGCATTGCAGTTTAGACACGGCACAGGTCAGGTCCTGTACTACAGTTGCAGGTTGCTATTAATCCATGAAAAAGCCTCAGTGCTAAATGTTGAACTTGCCTGAAGCTCTGCTCACGCTGCAGGGGCAGGTGCCCCTCTGCAGGCCTCCTTCTCTGGGTGGTCTTTGCTGCCTCTTTCAAGTCACCATCAGTTGGGCTCCCACACTATAACCTGTGGGGCAGCTCCTCAGGCCACCACCCCACAGAAACACATCCCCTTCCTTCCCCCAAAGCGGGCGGAATCCACCGGACTGCCTCCAGCACCCACGGCCAGCCAGCCCTCTCCCAGCTTCAGAAGCTGACTGAATTGTTGAATTAGCACGAGGAAGACTAGGGCAGGTCAGGGCTTGCTTGGAGCTGTAAGCAGTGTCCCTGCCCCCCGATCCCTGCATGAAAGAGCCATTTTGTGGTACCGGAGGAGCTGTTCCCCATCGCCGGGCAAGGCCAGCTCTCACATGGAGACTGTCACTGCCACCAAACGCTTTTCTGCCTGCAAACTCCTCTCAGGGCTACCCACTTCTTTACTTGTATTTGCTAACTCCAGCGTGAAAGCACCTTACATGTATGGCTGCCCAACACTAATCTCCAATACTATGAAATCTTTAAAGCTAAAAGACTAGAGATTAATTGCAGCAAGAGATGTTCTCAGGCTACAAGTTACAAGGCTAGAAATGAAGTCTCAAACTTAAAATGCCTATGCACCTTCCGTCTAAATTTAACCCCTCTCCAATCCATGCACTTGGACAGGTTGATGAAGATGGGCCCAGAGATCCATATAAAACTTCACAGTGTATCACAACGCCTCCCTTTCTGAATATTGCCCTTGGAATGTGGCTTTACGTTGTGGCAAAGCTGCTGTGCTCATTCTAAACCCACCTCCAGCTTCCCTTCCCAGGGAAACCACACATGCTTATTGCTCCACTTGCCACATATTTAATGATCATGCAGCCACAGGGGAAGTCAGCTCAGCCAGCTGATCCAAAGGAAATGGTAACCCGCTGGGGGCTGCTTACCAGCTAAATACATTTATTCTGCAGCTGAACATCCAAACTGGGAGGGAGGGGAGAGGGACCGCGAGGCTCAGCTGGGACGAGGCTGCTTCACTGCAGCACTAACCTCCTCCTCGCACCCCACACGGCTTTCTACGCATCTGAAATTCTTCCTTGCTTTGTAATGTTTCTAACACTACATATCAGAAAAAGTATCAGCTCTATAACGATTTTGTCAGGTTTATGACAACTGGTACTTCCCTGGCATTCTTCAGAGGCTGCAGAAGACACCCCAACAACGCAGATGACGTTGTTGGCAGCAGGCTATTTGGGTCACGCAGCCTTTGCCAGCCCCCTCCTGCTCGCAGCTTTCGGGGCACTTTCTGGTTGCAAGGACCGTGCCCACGCGCAGAGCTGCTCCCCAGCAGGTCTGGTGCAAGAACAGAGGGCAGCCGTGGGCCCCGCTCACCGCAGAGGGGAGAGCACAGGAGAGGAATGCTCTTCCCGCTGGAAGGAAGGCCAAGCGCTGACCTGCGCCTCTGCCGAGAGGTCCCCAAGCCCGGCTCCCCCCTCCCCCTGCGGTGCACCAGCCGCGGGGTCCCCAGTGCCCCTGGCAGGATGCGGCCCCACGTCCCCCCCCTTGGCTGTCGGTCCTCCCGCCGGCCCTGCAGCAGTGCCAGCGCCTGGGCACGGCACAACCCGCGGGACTCCCCGCCCGGGACGAAGGACACAGCACACCCAGCACCTCGGCAGGGACACGGCCCCGCCGGACCCTGCGCCGGGCACAGGCTTCCCACCAGCTGCGCATTCAACGTCAAGTCCATCGCTGCGTCTGAGGGACTCGCTCCAGAGAAGGGATTGCTAGAAAGGCCCCACAGAGCACTGCTGGGAGCTCCAGGGGCCGTCGGCCGGCTGCGCGGTACGGGGGTGAGGACCACCCGTGGAAAAGAGCATTTTTCAGTGCGAGCTTCAGACTGCAGAGCGAATCGCAGCAGCTGAGCTCAGCAAAGCCCCACCACCCGCCCCCCCAGGCCCAGGCCCGCTTCCACAGCCAGTACAGCTTCACACATCCACCCAGCAGAAGCATGCAGCTCTGCTTGCCTTGCACCACACACAACCGTAACCTACACCACACCACCGCGCCGGACCAAGGCGCATGTCATATGCTGCACGACTGGGTTTAAAGCCTCATGATTTTTGCACGGGAAGATGCAAGAAAGCAAAATCCCATGGGATGCCAGCCCTTCCTCTGGCTGTATGGACTGGGTGCTGCTCAGCACGTGCTGCGAGGAGACTCGCAGTGGAGCCTGACCGCGCCACCCACCTCAGACCTTCACACCAAGTCCCCCTTCCCATCCCATCGAACACACAATCGCCTCGTGGACTCGGTGCCAACTCAGCCTCACGCCACCTCTCCTGCCACCGCTGGTCCCGTGGAAGGGGCAGGATTCTTCTCACATCCCTTCCTGCACCGACAGCACCTACATCTCCGTTTGAAACAAACTCTCTGGGATCCCTTTACAACTGAGACACAGAGAAGGGCATCCTGAATGAGTGACCCACACACAATTTAATAATTTCTCAGCTGCCTTACTGTAACAGCCTTTTCTCTGGCTTTAAGAAATGCAGACTTGGACTGTTCATACCATATCCATTTGGCATGGATTCCGAACATAATTTTCACTTGCAAGTACCACAGTAATGTCTCCTACACTTTCCTCCTATAGCGAGGAAAGTCCCTAAAAACATTAACAAATTAATGTTATCGCTCTCTTTTGAATCACCCCTTAAAACTATCCTCTGCTGCGTTTGCTACGAGATGAAGCAGCCGATATGCCAAGATTGCTCCTCGCAGTGTCATCTCACTGTCCAGAGACGGGGAGCACCAGGACAGGAGCACCCCCGTCACCCGTGTGCTGGGACACGGCCGTCACCACCGGCACTGCGCAGATGCCCCCCTCCATACAGCACCTACCACAATGTTCTCCTGACCCCTCACCGAGGTTCTGTGCGTACACTAATACAAACAGTGACAAAATAATATTGCCAAGCTGCAGAAGCAAGCAAGTGCTTCCCTGCTGAAGACCTGCCAGCAGCTACCCTGGTTTTCTCCAAGTCTCCAGCCCTGGGGAGACTGCACCTCGATTTCACCTCGCTGTGCCTTGCTGCTGAGCCCTCATGCCACTTGCTTAACATGAAGCTGCCCGTGACTCTAATCCTTGATTTCCTATATTTTAAACAGGACCAGGAAAACCCAGCCGGGTCGGCTGTGGCCTCAGAGCAGCACGAAGGCAGTACACAGCCCCCAGCATCGCCTTCTTGAGAAAGGGAAGGGGCTGGGGGGAAATACAAGAGCAGAGTCCTACGTACCCGGCCAGTCTAATTCTTCTCTATAGACCCCAATACTTGTACCACATTGAGCAAAGCTGTAATAAATATCAGTACAAAACAATCCTGACTGGCCTCCAGAGAGGGCATCTAATGAGTCTTCTCTCCAACCTCCATTTTCTCTGTAATTTCAGTTAGCAGAAGGGAACCTGTCAGCTCATCTTCTAGCACAGAGAGCATGTATCTGCTTGAATTATTGTACCTGAAGTACGTTTTTTCATCAAGACATCCAGGCAGCAGGCATTTCTGTAGCAATTACTACCCGGCTCTCAAAACATCTTATAAAGGAAAATAATTTTATGTAAGACACAGGCCCTTGTCTTGCAGAGGAAGATGCTGCTAGCAGCCATCGCTCACTCTCCCCGCCGCATCCGGGCTCACCTCGATCAGAAAGTCTCCCGTGCGAAGCCCGGCTCTCCAAGCAACACCTTCCACATCCACTGATTCCAGGTACTGGAGTGCTGGGAAGGCTGGGGTTGGGGTGAACTCCTCAATTGGGGTTTCAGCTACAAAACACAAAGAGAGAGAGAGATTGAGACAGTGCGGCACAAAGCAAGCAGGAGGTGGACAAGAATGTCCAGGAGCCCAGGAAAATCTCTGTATGTTGCTTCAGAAAGAGCAGGTATGCAAGGCGCAGCCTGACATCAATGCCAGAACCAGAACTAACGCTACGTCTACAGTAGGCATCAGCTTAGACCCTGAGACAGCCCCAGAGCCCCTGGCACAGCTGTGACTCCCGGTCACATACGTTCCCACAAGGTCCCTAAAGCCCCATCCATCTCCCAGTACCACAGATGAAACAAAACCAACATGTATGGACAATGCCAGGAGGGGAAGAACTCGTGCCTGTCTCTACGTCTGAGTTAGCAGCCCCAGGCCTGTTTCACAGTGAGCAGAGAAAAACCCCTGTGCACCATCCGGCGCAGGACACCCGCTTCCAGTGCCCCAGGGCACCGCCGCCCCTCCCAGACTGGTCCCACCGCTGGCTCAGGAGCAGAGGGGCACTTCTTGATGGACACCTACATTAGTCAGACAAACCCCGTTCTTCATCAGTGAGGTCTGAATTACATTCCTGGTTGGAAAACCTGCTCCTGCCCCCAAAAGAAAATCACTTCCAGGGAAGGGACTTTCTCAGAGGGATCCAGGCAGCGCACTTAGATTATCCAGCTCCAGCCCATTTTGCTTCACTACCCATCCAGGATGAAGGAATTTTGCATGGGGGATGCCCAACTCAGCAGAGATGGAATTGTGTGATGAGTGCTACCTTGTGTGATGTGACGAAGGAACAAGATTCCCATGTCTGTTTATCAAGAGGAGACTGTTGCAGATGCTCAGATACACCAGGTCCATTAAAGAAATGACGTGGAAAGGCCACAGCTACTCTTCCCATGCTGGCCAGACTCTGGTCCCCTGAAACTACCAGTGGTACCCAGCTGGGTGGTTGTCCCCAGCACAGAATATAACAACTGTGGCTGTTTCAGGGGCTGGTCATGATTCTCCAAGAAGATTTTAATTTTCCCCTTTGTGTATTGCCAACAGACCTGCTGCCTGTGTTCCTGCTTTCATGCAGTGGGGATTCGTGTCTTGCTACACAAGCCCATAGCACTGGATGAGTGTGGACTTCTTCACCAGGCCTTATATGGCTGGAAACACCTGAAGCGGATCCAGGAGAAGCTCAAGCCCTTTTCTAAAGGCATGCAGTCTCATTACTGGCTTTCACGTGTTACCAGACAGACGGCCGTTCCTAACAGACCCTGCCACAGATAAGGAGGGATGTTACCTTTCCATGAAAACTGCTGCTCCTCAGCATCGTGACACTCGGCCACTTGCCGGCACAGCCTTCCAGGGAGCAGCATCCACAGGGTCATTCCACCCAGCCTCCACTTAGTGGTAGTGCCAGGACTAGGGAGGGCACGGTGCCACCTCCAGTGATCCGTGCTGCACTGGTTTTGGAGCTGCTCTCAGCTGGTAGCAGCCTCAGAGATGAAGCTGAAGATTGAGCTACCAGATACAGGAGCACTCGGCAAGTGAGGGAGAGGGGGGAAAGGTGCAATCCTGAAATCACCCGTGCCAGCTACTCTGTCTTCCCTGCCTGTAGAAACAAGAGACAATATTCCACATCATCTGACTATCATGGACAAAGGAAACTGTTGACATATTAGGAATAAGTAGCTGAAAACCCCGGACACGCTCTGATAGATCTGCACTCTCCTGAAAGTGTAACACACACTGAGGGTCAGCGAGTGGGTTTTATTCCTCCTCCGCCTGGGACAGCCACTCGCTCAAGGCTAGCAGTCAAATAACAGATCGCAGCTGTGTGGCAGAAGTCCTCTCCTGCCACAGCAGTATCGCTGTCTCTCTGCCGAGGAGCACTTGAACACAGGTCGGTCACCAGGAGGAGATGAGGCTAACAAGCCATTGTTTTGCCTCACGATGCAGCGTGTCACGCACCAAACGGTATTGGTGCCTGAAACACCTACATTTTGGCTGGTGACCGGCGGCTGGCCAACAGCACGGCACTGCCGCTCGCGCGGGGTCGGTGCAGAGCGTGGTGCTCAGCTTCTGCTACCAGTGGTGTCGACGCAGATTATCTCAGTCCACTGTTCTACACAAGCAGCAAGTTCAGGTCTAGCGGTCTTGTCTGGGGCGCATACAGACCCCTGGCAGATCACGTACCTGATGTCGCACTGCGTTACTTTGCATTACTTTCTCTGAAGGGTAATTAAGCCAGGAGTGTGAAGAAGGGCTTACAAACCAGCTCCAAGACCAGCACAAGAGATTCTCAGAGCTTGGTCGCAATGGCTTGTACTGTCCTCCCCCCTTAAACAGAGTAATTCTCACATGTGTTGGAGAGAAGCTAAAGCTGGTAGGTAAGAAATGCAACGGCGAGGCCGCAGCTGTGTGGAACAGCTGGCTCAAACATACGCAGAGCCTAGATATTCCAAAGAGACATGTTCCCCAAACCCTGGCCGGGCTGGCAATTCCGGGGCCAGGTGAACTGAAGGCTCTCACTCAGGGCTTTTCAGCGGGCTGATGGAGGTGTCTTCTTCTCACATGAATCTTTAGACTATGCAGGATTCACTGTCTTAGCTTCATTCAGAACAGCCAGTGGTAAAAGGGGACGTTTCGCCAGCGTAGGGACAGTTCTGAGCAGTGTGCACTGAAGGATCCAGGCTAACCTTCTAAGAAATCGAACACCAAATGTCTTCTTTAGTGGCTGATGATGCTTGAACAAACCATTTGCCTGAGAGACACGCAACAAGCAAGTCAGAAAAGCCCCACAATTATCTAGTCTGCTCTCATGCATGACAAGGGCCGGAGCCTTCAGCAACGGTCCCTGTACGTCCACCTCACCTCAGCTGATGCATGCAGAAAGCCTGGTTTGCTTTTGTTTACCATACAGATAATGATGCATTGTATCATCAGGCCCAGACAAGTTATCCATCACCCTATTGTCAAAACAATGTATTTTTTAAGAGCTGTTTCAAAACCCTAATGAAGCAGTAGATTTAATAACGGATCCAGTGGATGATCTTGTGCATACATCTCCTCTGATGTCAGGTGACTCCAGTAAATGTGACCTACATTCTCTTTCATTTGTCTAAAATGTATAGACACTGATTTTCTACAGATAAAAATATTTCCATCATTTACCATACTACTTGTTTATTATTGTATTTAATATTTTTGTGCAGGAGTTTTTTCTGCTAAATCAGATAGATAACCATTGGCTAGCACCAGACCAAGACAAAGTTTGCCTGACAAGATGTTAATATGATGAATGATCTTAGGTGTTTTTTATCAACACCTTTCCATGACTTTGTCCTATGACGGAAGGTACCTTAAGTGGCAAACAGTTGACAAGTCATCCTACCTATTTTTAAAAATGCCAATGTAACATTTGACTTCTCCAAAGCCTTTCCTCAGTGTTAAATTCAACTCTTTGGATCAGTGTTGACCAGCAAGTTCTTTCAATAGCCTGAAGTTCAAAGAACCACAAACACGACCTTGCTGCAGACTGGAGCTGCAAAACTAAGTGCCCATTAATCTACGCTAGACCCAGACCCAGAAGGACACGAGGTTTAAGGTGAGAAAGACCTTGTGTATTGCCTGAACCTCTGAAAATGAGAAAAGGGGAGACTTGGGCTCTCTGAATGTCAAGTAAATTATTTATATCATGATAATGAGACATACGGTGTCTGCAGAATATCAGCGCTGTACTTCACAGAACAGGAGCACCAGTGTGACATACCAGTACTGCCCTCTCATCACACATGCATCATAATTAAGTCATGAAAAGGTTAAGTGGCAGTCCTGATCCCTGGGGAGGACAGAGTTGGACAGATGCCAATTTAATTGGTTTCCTAGCCAGGAGAAGCCTGACGTGAGCAAACCATGTTACCCCAGCGGCTTCAGAGCCACCCGTCCCACCAGGCTGTCCCCTGCTGCCACCCCACACCGGGTTTCCCCACCACCGGGCTGACGACAGCCCATGGGCACTGGCGAAACCCTAAGTTACAGCTCAGAGAAGAGTCATCGGCGGGATAGTTCAAGGATATGTTTTTCATATTGGCAATCAAAGATCTAAACTGATAGGGAATACAGATAGAATTAACCTAGGAAACCCAGCCTTACAGCTGATTTTGTCACCTGCATTATTGATGTGTTACATGAGGACTCCAGGCACACCATTTTCCGTGGGCTGAAAGCCATATATCTACAGTAACTGCATGCCGTGAAAGGTAATTTGTAAAGTGTCACTAGTGCCTTAAAGATTCAGTAAACAAGAAGATGCATCCCGAAGTCAGAACTGTATCCTTATAAAATAAATACTAGAGCATAATTTAATACAGAAGGGGGAAAAATGCAGACAGAGGAAGCAACCAGGTCTCCCTTGATTTTGCCTGGAGTCCCAGTACTCAGTCACAGCGAACGAGAAAGAAGCTCTAGTAATGGACAAGTAAAGATAAAGTGAAGCATGTCCTTTCCACGCAGCGAATGAAATCTGCAGGGTGAGCGGCTCCAGGCATCTCCAAGGGCCCCGTCAGGCACTGGATGGAGGGGCTGGGACCTCCAGGTGCAGGTGCAGTCCAGCACTGGATCTTCCATCTGCCTCCACTAACTCAGACTCAGGCAATGCAGAGGAAACCTGCCATTCACTGGAATCTGCAACTGTGCTGCCTTGTTTCAGAACTTTCCCTTACAGCTGCTCACAGTTATCAGTCAGTCAAATATATCAGTGCTGTGCTTATACCTGGCCACTACCGAGACTGCTCTAGACTCTACTGCAGAGGATTTGCAAAGGGAGAAAATTCTCCTGCAGTACACAGCAATTAACACTTCCTGGGGAAGCGCCAGAAAAGTTGTAAAACCAGCTTCCCACCCGAAAGCCCAGCCCTGCTTTACTTGTCAAGGCGATGGGTACTGGGCACATCATTTTCTCAGAACAGACCAGACCTAAATTAAACGTAGGTTGGCAGCAGCCCTATGGAGCACCTGCAGACCA